TTTTTTTTTTTTTAAAGGGAATTGGCCTGAAATGTTTCTTACATGCCAGAAGACCATACAGTTAAATAAGTTTCTTTTACATGTTTCACCATTACTATGATTATTATTAGTTCTTGTCAGCATGTGATCACTTCATCATATTTTAAACCTCATTGACTGTATTAGTAAAATAGTATCTTTGCACTCTTGATTTATAAAGAATGTCAATAGTCTCTCAAGTGTTTTATAGCATGAATATAGCATGATTGTCCTTTAACTGATCCTTGTCGGTGAGGTTTTTGAGGTGAGGAACCTTCGAACATTTATATACATTAGTGTTACAGACCCTGGCTTTCTTACACTGCTGTATACTTTGTAATTCCACTTTTGCTCTTATATTTTTCCATGTATTTCTCTGTGTACTGTACAGATATTTACACACTCCAGGCTCAAAAATAAAAGCAAAAAAAAGTGTCACTGTAATGTTTTTGCTGAAATTGTTGTAGCAAAGGAATGCACGGAGCAGTTTGAAAGAACACAGCGAGCACATCTTCAAGACTCAGTTACATTATAATTATGCAACACAGGATTGAATAATGAAATTACAGATGTTGAACCTTTATGCTTCTGGCAAAAAATAGAAATTATTTAGAAGTTTGGTGTTGGATAGTTTAACAGTACATACACAGGATACAGAACACAAGCAAATACAGAAAACATGAAAACACTGAAAAATCATCTGAATACAGATGTCATGCTGCAGATGTCAAACAGATATACGCACAATGCTGAAGCATGTCGCAAATGCAGAAACACTAAGTACAACAAAATATAACCGCATACAGAAAATACAAGACGGTACAGAAATGTGCCACAATGTAGAAAACGTCTCAAATATAGAAAACAACAAAGAGTAAGCCAAAAAAATAAAATAAAATAAACACACACAGGGGGAGGAGGAGGGAGCAGTGAGGGGAGCAGGCACAGGGGGAGGACAAGGAGGAGAAGGAGAGAGGAGGGGAGGGAGGAGAGTGAGTCTGGAAGGGAAGATGGAGGTGCAAGAGGAGCAGGGGGAGGAGGAGGGACCAGGTACAGGGGGAGACAAGGAGGAGGAGGAGCGAGGAATGAAGGGGGGAACGAGAGGGGAGCGTGGGGAGGAGGAAGAAGAGCTAGACAGAGAGGAGCAGGAAGGGAAGAAGGGAGCAGCGAGAGGGGAGAATCTGGAGGGTGTGTGTGTGTCAGTGCGGTACCTGGAGCTGCTGTCCGACGTCCTCTGAACACACAAACAAAGCAGAATTTTAACTTGTGCACCGTCGACACAGCAGCTGTTTGACCACAGCGACTCTCTGCTCATCACAGCATTCACGTCACACAATCACAGATAAACTGCACCAAAGTGAACAAAGGGTCGAACGTGTTGTCGCACATCACAACACGCATTCAGTCCCTGGTTGTGTTACAGGCAGCAAAGTGACTTTTTACACTGAGAGGAGCAGCTTCAGTGTTTCAGTAACTATACAAGAAAACATCAGCATCAGCCAAACTGTTCATCAAACAGGCCCTCAAAAATTCTGCGGCTTCACAAACTTTACATTCAAGAAATTATTCTCATTTTTTGACTGAAACCGCTTTCAAAGTGTTCAGAGAGATCAGAGAAAAGCATGAAATAAATGTTCTTACCTTCATGCTGACGGTCGGTCTGACAGGTGTCTGAACCACAGGTGTGTCTCTCTGGCTGGGGGCTTCTCTAACAGGTCACTCTGCTACTGCTGATAATCCACTGAGCTGCTGCTTCTTCAGGAAGGTTTGGTTTGTAGCTGCTATCTGGGATTCATAATTCAAGAAGCTGCTGTGTGAAGCTGCAGGTGTTTATCAAAGTCAGAGGAAAGAAGCCGACTCACAGCAGCTGTGGGCACCAAACAGGACTGTTGAGGGTGTAATAATGTTTCTAGAAAATGCAGAATGACATTCAGAGAAACCTGATCATTATTGTTTATGGCATTAATCTAACATGTTTCATATCTTGCTCACAGTATATCTGTACATGTATTTTAAGAATGATCTCACTATGTTGTGTCATACATACCTGTAGGTGGCGCCACCTGGACACAACCTGGGCCTGACCTACCCTGACTGGGTGTGATGCTGAAAAAAACAGTTCAGGAGACATCACTGATGATGCGTTCACGGGCATCAATATGAAGTGCTGTATATCAGAAGGAGTGTAGCAGTAGTTTCTGAGTTATGACATCGTCCATCAAAACTATGTTCAATCAACAAACTACATTTAATCAAAGACATTTTTAATCATCACTTACCAATGATTGGTAGCATCAACACAACCTTTTCACCTAATTCCTCATTATAACATTATGTTACTACACATACATGCAAGACAATGTTCCACATTATGTTGTCAGTATTTACTGAATTAAAATAAATACATTTTCATTTCTCTCCACTTCAACTTATTTATATTTTTAATATTATATCACTTCACGGAACTAAGTTCTACCAACTTAACCTTGACTCAGAAAATGAGCAAATCGATTCAAAAGATCAAAGTGATTTGATCTCTGACACTAATGGAATTGTGCTCAATATATTTCATAGCAATTCATTTAAAACTGAAAACAGCAAATGTTAAGCAATTCATGAAAATACTGATAAACTTAACTGTTACAATTCAACTTATTAAAACATTTGCTGTTTTCAAAGGCATAAACAATTATTATCAGAGCCTAAAACATCCACTGTGTAAACTACTAATGAATATTTCACATGACCACAGAAGAACAGCAGAGTTGAGACCGACGCTGCTGTCTGGAGAGAAGTCATCGGTCGATGTCAAACACGTCTATGATATTCTGACATTGCCTTTTTAAAGGCACTAACAATTACTATCAGAGCTTGAAACACCTGCTGCTTAAATAACTATCAAATGTTACAGTGAAAGCTCTTTCCAACATCCGGCTGAACAAGCCAATTAACAGGACGTTAATCTGTCTTCATTTATAGATCTATATAATCACTATGCTAAACATTTCCAGCTTTAAACTGTGAAATTTGCTCTCAAACTGGCAGATGACCATAGTTTAGGTCTAAGAAAATCACAACAAGAAGTTTTCATCTCCTGACAACAAAGAATTTTTGATTCCAAATAATAAAATAGCAAAATTAGGAGGCACTTACAGTCATTGTTAAACATTTAACTCTTGCTAACCTTGTTTCTCTTGTCGTTACTGAGTTTGAAGAACAACTGTATGCTGTGTTTATGGAGATGTGATTCCAAGCTCACGCTGCCTGGTTTAGTCTTTCAACAAATCATGTTTCAAGTTCAGGAGGCACAGATTCAGCGGTTTACTATCATCCAGACACATCACCATTGACTTGGATAGT